TTAACCCCCCCCCCCCACACACACACACACACATTTTGGGGGTCAAATATGACCTTGACATGTTTTCATTAAATTCACCCAATAAGAATTTTTTTTTTTTGTAGATGACGTTCCAGACGCACAGTAACACTGTCAGTCCTCTATATTCATGGACAATTTCTACGAAAAAAGCATCATATTTCCATAAACTCACACAAAAACCTGTTGCTTCTGCATATCTGGTTCAGCTGAAATAGCCGTTCCCATGTTATATTTTGTTATATAACACAGCTATATCATTACTACAGTCCTTGATCTAATGCAGGCAAATGATTCAATTCAACTGAAATCCAGTGGAGTCAGTGGTTTGTCCAGGAACGCAGAAGCATAGTGATGTTAACTGAAGAGTGTTGTTAGGAACAAGTGCACGGTTAGAAACTGTTCGAGTATCAAAACCAATGTCCCGTTTTACTCCCAATCTGCTCTCCACGGAAAAATAGCCCTTTCGTTGAGAGCATTTCAGTTCTGCAATCCAGATCTAGAGAATAAAACAATGAACTCAATTATTGACCTTCCTTTATTCTACTCAAGTTAAGTGACACCGAAAGAGGACTATGAAGCAACAAAACTCAAATCGCTGCTAAATGATAAGGTTAATCTTCTGTACACAGGTCCTTCACTAACGCTCAGCATTTCAGCTGTTCGTAAACTAGCTACGAATGGATTGTAATGCAAAACACAACGGATAACACAAAATCCACCTCAAAAACAGTAACACTGATAGAACGTAAGGCATAAGGACAACCCAACCACGCCACCTCGTAAACACACAACCGACAGAAATGAATTACGCTTGAAATGTACATCCACTTCGCTTTTAATGCCAAACCAATTTGGAAAAAAGCTTCCTAAATTGAGACCGGGAACGTTTTCCATAAGAAATGCGTGTTTGAGACGTGATATGAAAGACAAGGGTAGAGTATCCGTCGTCCAATAGAAATAGTTTCTTGTTTCTACTGAGAATATATGATGATGTAAACTACATATAAATAGAAGTTGATGGGTTATGACATACATTTCATGTATGTTTGTGATGCGTGCGCAGCGGTTTTCCGATCAGGAAGGCACATGTCGGACAAACGCAATCCTGTGCTTCCCAGAAATGAGGTAGTGTAAGTATGGGCCGTCAAAAATAAATGCATCTATGTGTGTGTGTGTGTGGGGGTGATGATACGGATGTTCTCTACTGGCATCTAGAGGTACCAAAATACGGAGTATGTTAAATTGCACAGTCTACAGTTTGTGAAGGATGATTATATGCGGTAAAGAGCGTTTGTCTTTCATCTTCTCTGGTAATGACAGGCCATCATCTCATCATCCGTATGGGCTGGACTCTCATGAGATGGGCATTTCGCCCCTGGTGGCGGGAGTCTTTAACAGCATGTGTTGGGTTATCAGAGGGAAGGTGGTGTTGGGTTTCTAAATAAAGCATGAACCGAGTGTCAACAGCAGCGCATGCGCGACGGAGACAGCTCTGGTGGGATTTCGGGTTCGGGCTGAAGGGACAGGACGCTGTTGGACAGCTCCTTACTGGGGACTTCAAGAGGCATCTGTGGAAGGACAACATTTAATCAGTTTGTAAGATGTTAGAGACTCTTCAATGACTGTCTGATGTGCATTGCACACTAAAATGGTAAGATCTTGCTCAAAAGAGATGGGAATCAGGGCTGCACGATTAATCAAAATAAAACCGAAATGCGTGCGTTTGAGTTTCATTCGAGAATGCAACATGCGCCAAACATCTTCCCAAACTTGTAATGACAAAGTGCTTATAAACCATCTGTTACAAGCAAAAGAGGCATTTTTCCACCAAAATAAAAGCTCAACATTTGAAACTGAAGAAATTAAGATTGCAATTTTACAGTTGTACTGGTTCAAGGTTCTTTATTTGTCACGTACAGAATTACATACATGTGATGTAGTGATTTTTCTTAAATACTTGACTTAATTTTACAGTAAAATATTATTATTATTATTACTATTAACAATCATATTGTTATATAATCACAAAATTCACAAAAAAAAAAAAATCACATTTTAAAATTGCAATTTTATCAGAATTTTATCATTTATCACGCAGCCCTAATGGGAATTGTAATAAATAAAAAAAAAGGAAGAAATAATAAATAATTACTGCATTTGCCAACGTTTATGGCATCAAATCTTATTGTCTAATACACTTGTTATGTAAATATAATCTCACCTGCTTTGGTCTCCTAAATGTCATGTACAACATTTAATAAACTAAAGTGTAGTTGGTCACTTTACATGTTGGTTGGACGCTTCCTTCCTGTCTAAGTGGCCAATTACTGGCCATTATTCACAGCAAATTGGGTCAGACTTTTTGCCGATAGTCAAATTCCATCTCTGCGTTTCTACTGAAATCCTGAAAACTCCTTTTATCTCATGATGATATAATTTGAGCCAGAAACACTCGTGATTCACTCGTGACTCGTCAGGCACTGAGAAACTCACTATTTTTAATCAAATGTTTCAGAATTAACATTTTGATGAGCAAAGTATTTGTCAAAACAGCTCCACTTACCTTACTCAAAATGTCATCAACTAGTTTAAGGAATATCTCATCCACATTAAAGTTGTCCTTGGCACTGGCCTCACAGAAACGCATCCCTGACATCCGTGAAGCAAACTGCCAGAAATAAAGAAATTTATTTCAGTGTGATGGTGGTTCTGTATGGGTTAAATATTCAAATAATTAAATATTTAATACTTTTCTAATGCAATCAGCTGACTGAGGCTCTTTCTTTTCCATAATGGTAACACATCAAACTATTGTATGGCTTCAGAAGATGTGTGGACTGCTTTTATCGAGTAAATAACAATGTTTGGGTGAACTATTCCTGTGTAAAGTGTGCTTTCACACACTGGTACTGTTAGCTTTAGTCCCAGTGGGTTTGGGAAGGTTGGAGGAGGCATTATTCAGAGCATTCAAGGAATCTCTTTGTGGAGGTCCAGAATAATGTCCCTGTGTCCAGGGCTTTGGATGCACTGAAAGACTCGTAATGCAGCAACGCCCTCCACTGAACTAAATGTCAAGGTAAACCTGAGACAGCGTTATACAGCTGAATCTGAAGTAAATTCAGGCGATAATAATGTTCTAATAGCAAATAATAAAAAGGTATAAAAACATCACTCATATTTGCTGAATGAAACCAATGCTTGTTTCTTACTAATTTTGAGGTGCTGAATCCAAAAGTATTGCCTGTTTTGCCTGTAAAATTATATTGAATTTTTTGAACATATTTTTCCATTCCTTTTACAAATTGTAAGTTAAATAATACATTTTGAATACCTCTTTTTGTCATTAAAACCATTAAAATAAAAACTTCTGACATTTGCCTGCTTTAGTTATTTTGATAAGTGCATTATATGCTTAGAATCTGAAAATATTAGAAATGTTGCCTTAGCAATTAACTGAAATAAATTAGTACTAATGACTAAACCTAAAACTGAAATAAAAATAAATTAAAGCTAAATAGAAAGATTTAAAATGATAATAATAATCAAAATGACAAAAGCACATAACAAAAAAAAAATAAAATAAAATAAAAAATTAAAATAAAAACTGAAATAATAATTCAACATATTAATAAATACTATTGAAATAATACTAAAATAACACTGGTCTCACCCTCCCAGCTTGTTGTCGTGAAAAAACTGTACATGATAAAAAGTTTTTATTATTTACTTTTATTTATATAACTCGGCATCTTCAAATGAAGTTATATTAGAAATATATATAAAAAAGAGCCCTTAGTTACTTATAGAAAACAGTCATTAGCTAGCAACATCGTTATTGTTAACTACAACTAAATCTATTAAAAGTTATTTTCAGTAGTCGAAATAAAGTGCTAAAAATAAAAAATAACGTTAAACTGAAATAAAAATATATATACAAATGGCAAAATTACTAAAACTAACATTAAAATGAAAACATTTTAAAAACTATTATATATTTATTTGTATTTATTATTTATTAATATGGTATATAAACAATACTAAAATAACACTGCTCTCACCCTCTCTGCTTGTTGTCGTGAGATGGCACGATCAGACTCACAGTCCAGTTTGTTCCCAACCAATAGGAGCTCAGCATCCTCTGATGCGTACTACACAGAAGCAAAACAACACTTTAGTAAAAAATTTGGTAGCCCTTCTGGCATGCATTCTTCAGATTTTGGTAGCGCAAAATGAATTTAACTAGCCCGAATAAAAAGGACATCGGCTGACAAATCAGCATGATCAAAAACTTTAGTGATTGTATTTTTTCTTCAAATAACAAGTAGGGGTGCAACGGATCACCAAACTCACGGCTCGGATCATATTACAGATTTTGAGTCACAGATCGGATCATTTTCGGATGAGCAAAAAAATGGTTCTTTATTATTTAAAGAACACTTTACTTCCTTTATACCACAGCAAAAACTAGTAGCATATAGGAATGTAACGATTCACTCAACTCACGATGCGATACGATTCACGTTACTGAATTCACAATAAGATTTTCGTGATTCATTTAACATCTCAACCGACTTGAATCGTCACATATTTTTATTGATTTTCAACTGGCAAGCATGCATCGATACACCCCTAGTAGCATAACTAATAAAGGTCAAAACATTTTTAAAGACAAGTGAGCCGTCAGTAATAAAATAAGAACAAATGAACAAATTACAAGTACAGATAAATAAAATAGAACAAAGTTACAAATAAAATAAGGTCTAACATTAGTTTTCAGGTACATAAATGTTATAATTAAGTGTAAAATAACACTGCATAGTGTTCACTGTATAAATTACATATAGATCTTTGTTAAAGCTGACAGACAGCAGCAGGCGTTTACATGAATGCACGGAATATGATGCACAGTGTGTTTGAGTGTGTGCAATTGAGTTCTCTTTTGCCTCTTCTTGTGCTTGAATGGTTCAAAACGCTTGAATGTTTAAAACGGCAAGACTAATCAGTGTTTTAGATGTTTGAGTACCTTGTCTATCATCTTCATCCATTTTGGCAGGTCGTCAAAGGTTTCCTGCTTGGTGATGTCGTAGACCAGTACGATGCCTTTCGCGCCGCGGTAATACGCTGAAGTGATGCTGTTAAACCTCTCCTGACCTGCTGTGTCCCTGCAATCAGTCAACATTATTAGACTTGCATGACATCCAGAGTGAGGAATAAATCATATGTTTGACTATTAAGAGAAATCGTGTCTCTACAATCACAGACAGCTGGAAGGGAGGGATGGAAAGAGTAAGAGGGGTTTGTGACATCAGCTGAAAAAGAAAGTCAATTTATTTTCAATTCAATAAAAGATTACAGAGAGAAGCATAACATGCACCAATGAATCATTCACAAAAAGAACAGGAAGGTGCATTATCGACTTGCTCAGATCATTTGCTTTGCCAGTATTTTCATAAAACATCAGTGTATTTCAGCAGTCTTTTATGAACAGATTTTTCACATCTTGATTCAAAGGAAAAAGAAAATTCAGATTAATTATGAACATTATGGCACATGACAGATGTCCGTTTCCTTGTTTTTACTGTACCTTATTCACCCTAGTCTGGCTGCATGTTTCCAAAACAGGATATGATGTCACAAAGAGGGCCGGTGAGGCGTCACATGTCAATGAGCAGTTAAGACAGACAGTGAAGGACAGCCATGGATGCTGGGTAGCTGGATGTGAGTGGACATGTGTTACAGACAGGACGTTCAAAAGCAGACATCTGCAGAAGTGTGGTGTGAGAGAAGCCGGCGAGTTTTAGGGTCAAAAGAAATAATAATGATGATAAAGTGGGTGGGGAGGAGATGGGAGGTTAGTATTAGTTTGGATAGGTTACTAAATGACTGAACCAGATTCCACTGGAACAATAAAGGTATGCAATAACAGAAAGATTAGTTTACAGACTGCACCAAACTAAATAGAAAAGAACTAGAGTTGTTCATGATTAGGTTAATAATTTAATAGACTATTCTATTCCAATGTTTATTAATCAATTTTGTGATTTGGCTTGTCTGTAAAAATGAAGAGGACATAATCACAATGAGAAAGAGTAGCATCTGTATTTTCTATAGGCCCCACATTATTAGTGAATGGTATGAATGGTAAATTAAACAAATTAAACTTATACTAAACAGCCTAACTGATGAAGTAAAATGTAGATAGATTTCTTACATTTATGTTTTTAAATTATTAAGAGTCTTCCACATGGCATTTGCTGTATTAATTTTAAATCACAATTAAAAATTCCTGAAAATTGACATCCCAACATAGAAAAGAATAAATGAAACTCTGAATCTGAATAGTACTCCATAGAATAGAACCAAACAGAACAGAATTCAACAGACCCAAATTAAATAAAGCAAAACAGAAACGAGTAGAATATAATAGAATATAACAGAGCCAAATCAAATAAAACAGAATAGAAAAAAGAAACAAAGGAAGCTTGTTTCCACCACAGGATATAAAAAATCAAAAAGGTAATTGTGACTTTTTTTCTTGCAAATCTGAGGGAAAAAGAAAAAAGAATTTGAGATTTCTGAGAAGAAAAGTCTGAATTGTGGGATAAAATGTCAATACCTTTTCTTTTTTTTTTATTATTATTTTATTCCATGGCGGAAAAAGACAAAAACAGAATTGCGAGATGCAAACTCAAAATTCAGAAGAAAAAAAGTCAGAATCACAAGTTTATATCTATAAAAGAGTTCATATGAATTCTGAGTTTATATCTTGCATTTTTTATATTACATATTTTAAACACTTCCATAAGAAACAGATCAGAATAGAGCAGAATAGAAGAAATAGAATACGCCATGAACCCAGACCACAACAGAATTGTAGAAAATAATCGAATAGGAGAGATTAAAACTGAATAGAATAAAACTAACAAATGGCAGTAGACAAGATTGGCAGGAGTAGGTGAAAAAGGACATACACATCAGTTAGTGTTATGATATTAGTGATATCACAATTAAAATCCACATATTTACATTCATTGTTGAATTCTGGGATGCTGCAAGCATGCAATCACAAATTAAAAGTCACAATAATAGTGATCAGTGTACTGTAATGCTTTAATAATGCTTTTTGATGGTAAAATCAAATCTCGCAGTGAGTTTACTCAATGCCACAGCGTAAGTTAAAAGTTGGTTAACTGTAAGCAATCACAGCTGATTAAATCTCAGCAGCAACACATGCAAGATGTTTGACTGAGTCTCAGAGACTCTGGACTGGAAGTTATGACTTGGTGCAGAGCGACTTCATCTCATGTGCTTCTGAGACACAGGAAGTGACATGGTGGGCTGAGTCAATGATAAGGACACAGCACTTCCTCTCCACTCACCAGATCTGTAACCTGATCTTCTTTCCTCTCAGCTCCACCGTTTTGATTTTAAAATCCACACCTTCAACACAAACAAACAAGCAAGAAGAAAAAAGATGTAAGATCAGTCATACTGCGTCTTCAAGCTTTACAGTGCCTCTACAATTCATTGTAATCAAACACATAATTGAAATCACTAATATTTAATGTAACACATATAGGCAATAAACAGCCAAAGTCAAAGCACAGATCATGCTGTATGACTTCCACAAGCGTGACAGAGCAGTAACTCGAGGTCGGGATGTCACAGCAGCTGTGTGAACGTGTGTCTGGCTATTCTGGGATATTGGGTTAGTAAGCATGCAACTAATCTGATGTGAAGGCCTGCCATGAGTGAGTGAAAACCTTGCTGTATCAGTTTTCACATGTGCGCTGGTCCAAACATTTATGTATTGGCTAAAAATCACTGATTTTGTACCAAAGGGTTTTATTATTTTAATGCGTGTTTCTTCACATGATTGATGCAGATTGATTCAGCACTTGGCAGATCTCCCATGTAACGACATTATAAAAAAGCTGGGCATGAGAATGAGGGATGAAAACGGTTTAGACACATTCATGTTAACATCAAACTCTTACATCATTTGAATTGTTTGCATCCATCTGTGTTACAACAGTGTGATTATTATTAGGACAATTTTCTCTGATTTACGTGGTCACTGGCACAGATGTGATTTTCAGATTGTGGCTTTCTAACATCTGGCTGAAATGTTTCTGTTGACACTGTCAGGACTAAAACTGACTGACCAGAGCTACTCCTCTGACCTCTGAAGTGTTGCTAAGTTTTCATGTTACAGTAGTCATTATATTGCTGCAACTGTTTATGTTAGAAGGTAAACACATTTTTTACTTTTTGACATTTTTTATTATCCAAATTAAAATATCCATAACAAAATCACTATGCACGGTTCACAAATTATGTACACAAAAACGAAAATACAAATATATTCATATTATTTATAGTTTCTACTATCTATCTATCTATCTATCTATCTATCTATTCACACAATAATATTGTGTAATATTATTACAATTTAAAATGTATTTTGCCATTTAAAGAAGTTTATTTTGTGTATGTGTGTGTGTGTATATATATATATATATATATATATATATATATATATATATTTAATAACCATCTATGTTTTACTAATTGTTCTACTTTTACTAAATAACTATTGTCCATTGCTTTTTTAATTGACAATAACTATTCATCAAAGTGCCAATTACTAACATCTATAGTTATTATTCCAAACTGGAAATAATTATTCATCTATACTAAACTAATATGTACAGTTATCTAATCTTTAATAGCCATCTATGGTTTACAAAATATCCACTGTTAACTATCTGTGCAATAAAAACAAAACAAAAACAAAAAACATTAATATCCATCTAATAGCCAACTGCGAACCATTAATAGTTTACAAATTAATCTCAGTTAACTATCTATGCTTTCCAAACTGGCTATAATTATCCATCTCTACTAAACGAGTATGTACAATTAGTCATCTAATCTTTAATAACCATCTATGGTTTACTAAGTAAACACTGATAATCATTGATACAGTTTACAAATTATTTAGTTACATCTATTCCATATTAACTAGGGGTCGTTTAATTACATAACTATAATATTAAGTTTATTAATTATCCATCTATAGTTGACGTATCTATGCTGTACTAACTGGCTATAGCTTTCTCAGTCATTATCTATCTATAGTTAACTATTCATACCTTGGATACAGTTGAACTGACTTGAGCAGATAAACACGATGTGGTATGTATGTATTGTTATGATAATTAAGCAGAAAGATAACAGATACTAGTAAACAAATAAACTGACAGTCCTTGTTGTTGATCCTCCAGACTGACAGCTTCAAAAACTCTCTTTCTGTCAGTTTGTCTTACCCACAGTGGACTTGCACGCCTCGCAGAAGGTGTCATCCGTGAATCTCTCCATCAGGCTGGTCTTTCCCACTCCACGGGAGCCGATGATGATCACCTGCAGTTTATAATCAGCGGCTCTCGGCGGCATCTTCCTGCGGCGCTGCGACGCTCCCACAGCGGGCGAGCCACCGCCGGCCCTCCGCTGGACACCGAACCCCGACTCCATCCACCACTAACAGCCGGTCCACATCTGCCACACGGCCAGTCTGCTTTAAACACGCCCTCGCATCACGGAGGGAAACTTTACTAAACTTTAAAGCGGTTTTTTGGGAGAGTTTGTCAAAGTTTTCAATCTCCTCAGTCAGTCAGTCAATTGTTGTCCTGCGCTGGAAATACGAGAGCGACCGTGACGTCACCACCACTTCCGGTTCCGACGCATTCCAAAGGAAGAGCGGAGCAAAATTACTTTTAGAA